GTCCCTTCCGACCCTAGAAACTATGAAACTATGAATGGATGCCGGAGTCCTAAAAGTCATTCTGGCAATCTCAGAGGGCGGGGGAAGGGGAGGAAGCAAGAGGTCTCAAATCCTGTTCTCCTTCCCCACCCCATAAAGAGAGTCCTGATCAAGGATGGAGACAGAAGCTGGTGCCAAAGAGGTGGCTTTGTCTCTCCTTCTGCCAGTTCCCCTGTGCTCATCAGTCTTATTTCAGGGACAGACTGAAGCAGCCAGTCCCACAGGCAAACACAGCCTTCTTCTACATGCCGTGCCCGATATCAGGACCCTTTCATTCTTGTTCTTGGGCACCCCCACCATGCTGCTAGCTCCTGGCTGGGAAGTAGACCATGCACACCCAATGTAAGATTTCCTATTCCTGGCTGTCCCTTCTCCCTATGGACGGTAGTGGTTGCAAAAATGAATTCTTGCATGGTGTCCATCTTCCCCTCCCCTTCCAACTTCCTCTAACTGCAAACTCCACCCCAGAGGGACACCAAAGGATTGCTGTAATCCTGGAAAGGACTCATTGCAGATCCAGGGCTGACAGGAACACCCAGGTGCCTAGCTGAAAGTTATTGCAGCATAGTTCTCACATACAATACAGAAACAATAGATCTGTATACAGACGACACAGCCACAGGCACTTGGACTCAGTCTACACCCTTATACATATAACCCACATAAAGATATACGCAGATCCTACCCACATAAACATGTGCATACAAACATGTATGCATATGCATGCAGTTTTCACAGCAAAGGGGAGAGGAAATATGGGGGGGGGGGCCTCTCAAAATGTTTGAAACCACCCCCAACAATTCCTAGGATAAATCATGCCCAATTTACCAAGATCCTATGATGCTGAATGACTTTTGGGTGTTGTAGTTTATTTTGGTGAGGGGGCTCCCAAGCTCTCCTGCCCCTTCTCCCACAACTGGGCCCACTACAGTCTCTTTAGTTGCTGTATTCATGTGGGTCTAGACTGCAGCAGCAACTGGGAACAGGCATTTGAGTGGGTAGGAGAAGTGTGCTGCAGCAATCCCACAGGAAGCTTTCCCACAGCTCTCTGATGAGCCAAGTGCATTCGTTACCTATGGGATTTGTGCCCTTGGGTTTTCAAATTGAGTCAAACTAGTATCTTAAATTTCCCCTGAAACTTTCCAGAGAAAACAAGTTCTCATCTCTCTAAGAAATCCCAGACCCAAGGGACCAGGCTCCACAAACAGAACTCAGGGAGGGTTTGAGAGCTCTTCTGAGAGTTCAAGGCCCATGGAGGCAGGCACAGCGGGCTTCTCTCGCCCTGTTCTCCCAAACACAACAGGGATCTGGGCTTATAGGTCAGCAGCTGCACTAGAGGAACTCTTGCCAGCTTTGCATCGCAAGGGCCTTTGTACCCGCCACGTTTTTTGCCCTTTCTTGCCCTACAATAGCTTGACCGTTTGCACAAAGCATGTCACTTCAGAGTTAACTGAAGTCACCCACACGTGCTGTACCCACACGCAAAAGAGAATAGCCAAACTGCCAAGTACCACTGCCATCACCGTGCCTACACTGATATCAGACTCCTCTTGGCATCATGGCTTGTTTCTTAACCCTGCGGTAAACAGAGCCCCTCTTTGAATGGCTCCCTGGGAATTGTGGGAGGACTTTTCTGTTCTTTCTGGACACACGGAGGAAATCATCAGAAGGGCCGGCAGCAGCCAAGTGGCACAGTGCTGCATCCAGACCGCAGAACAGTAATGGTAGCAGCTGACAAGCTCCATTTGCTCAGGTTTCAGCCACACTACAGGCCAGATCCAAAAAACACAGAAAAAAGGTACTTTAGGCACATAGATTCCTATTGAAATAAGTAGAAGTTTAGATGCTTAAATACCTTCTAGGATCTCGTACCCCAACTTGGGTTAACCAAATCAACTTAAAGACACTGCCATGCTTGGATTAGGGGTGGAGATCTAACTCCAGTGAAGATAAGGTCTCCGAACTGGATGCTGCTGTTCTCTTCAGAGGCTCAGCCAACAACATGCACAACATGAAAAGTGTGGCCCCATGTGAACAACAAATCCTGGATGCTCTTAAAGCTATAGACCCAAGTGACAGAGACCAGAAAAAGTAAAGCAGGGTACCAAAATATGTCTTAGTTGTTTTTTGTACCTTCCCCCACCCCAGAACTGAAGGTTATCTGTAGATGCTGGCAGTCTCCTGGACGATCTGCAATTCAACTGTCTAACATGCAGTTCCCTCTAGTAGACATTTTTGGTAGCCACTCTGGGAACTGTTATACACTAGTTAGTGTTCAAGCGATGCAGCTGGGATGCTCCAGGAAATAGGAGAGGGGCATGGATTTTTGTAGGCGATATCTTTTATTGGACCACCTGCATGGATGGGCTGGACTCAGACAGGCTTTCAAATGCAATGCATTGAGACCCAAGGAAGAATGCCTTGTATTCAAAAGCTCCTCTTAGTTATTTTTGTTCTATTTGCTTACCATAAGAAGGTGCCCAAAGGCATCCCTGAAGCTTCAAGTCTGACAATTTGCCCCAATTCGCTTTGAGAGCCTCTGCAGTTGCTCACTAGGTTCTGATAACCTCTGCAGCCTTGTCAGTACCCATGCACAAGTGTCTCTTCCTTGTTTTGAGTTTTTGGCTGTAGCTGTGGTGGTCTAAGGATATAGCCAGGCAAGGATTTTTGGGTAAAATTTTGGTGCAGAATGAAGCAAGCAGGTCTCATACAAGAGAGAGAGGCAGCGTTTAGGTCAGTTGGTTAGAGAGTGGTGCAACCAACACCAAAAAGCTGCAGGTTTAATCCCCGGTTGGAGCAGATAATCCCTTGAGGTCCCTTCCAGACTTACTTCGTTTTGATGATTGTTATAAGTTAAACCACCCAGCAGCCAACAGAGCATCAGGCATTTCCATCCACATTCTAGGTGACAATGGATAGGTGCTTCTCCCTTGCCAGAAGAAGCAGGCCAGAGGCAGATCCAGAAACATACACCAGGCCTCCTGTGTCCCATTTTCCTATGTATTTCCACAGCAACCACAGGATCCTCATCTGGGATGAGCTGGATAGCATGCTCATGGTTTCATTACTTAAAAGGCAATGAAACAATCCTACAGTCATGCTTATAAAGCATGTCACAAGATCACCACAACTGTAGACACACATAACATACAAAGTGTAAGTGCAGTGCAGAAAACAGGCTGCGGAAAGCAGCAAGAAGGACCAAGAAGCAAGAGCACAGTGACTTTGAGGTTAGTCAAAGCACTGTGGTAACTAGCGGAAAGTATTTCTTTACTGTACTCTTACTCTGATCCCATCCGTGATCAGCTTTTGCTGCCTAGGACAGAGGTGACAAACGTGGGAGGTGTGAACTAATGATGCTACATTGGAAAGGTGACGCCCACTTAAGTTCTCAGAATGATGTTCCTCAGCCTTCGTATTTAATATGGTGTGAGCAAGGAAAGTGGAAAATATAAAGGATCCTTAATCTTAAAAAAACCCCCATAATTTAAAACCCGTCAGCAAGTGTTGTTCAAAAGCAAAGGCATTTACTGGATCTGCTCACTCTAAAAAAACCCAGGAAGCAAGACTTTAACCTTCAGGAACTAACCCCATGGCACCGTGGCATGGTGCAGAGATGAAGGGGGGACTACCCACGCAGCGCAGGTAGGTGCAGTGTGGGGGTCTGTAGTTCAGACTAGTGTGGCCCCCCCAGGGTGTACAGTGACCACTGGTGTGGCCTGTGCTGCATGCAATCCCTAGCCACTTTAAATTAGGGGTACCCAACTTCTGACTTATAACAACATCAGGATATCAACTGTCTTTTACCATGCACATGTAAAAGCACCAAGCACAGTGAGCCCCTCCTCATTGTGGGTGTTTAGGTGCTACTGCAATAGAAAGAATAGCCAAACATCACCCAGTAGAAGTGCTTTAAATGGCAAAAAGTTATCCCTAAATTTTGAACATGCCAACGTTCAGGAGTGATCTCAACTCCACCGCAATTCAGAGCAGACTAGGGTTAAAAAAAAATAAATAAAAAAAAATTAAAAAAAAAAAATGCAGCTCTCTTGACTCGTTGGCCTTCCTATTCAGGGAAAAGAGGAGACAAAAGACTTGATAGCAAGACAATCAGATCACAGTTGGTATCTGCAGTCCTGCTTGCTAGCTTTTATTAAGTTTTCGGCCTGCCCACTAACCCTACAGACACCCTGGGGCTCATCTGTAAGACACGTAACATCTCTAAAACATAAAACAAGAGAAGGCTGGACATCAGGAGGCTTTACTTTACAGTTAGGGCTGCCAGGCTCTGGAATGGGCTCCCAAGGGAGATGGTGCTCTCTCCTGCCTTGGGGGTCTTCAAAAGGAGGCTGGACAGATATTTGGCTGGGGTGATATGATCCCAGCTCCGGGGCAGGAGGTTGGACCTGATGATCTGTTTAGGTCCCTTCCAACCCTAAGTCTTATGATACTCTATCATCTCCAGGAGGAAATCCCAGGGTTTCTGCTGCTTCTGGACACTGGCTCCAGTGCAACCATATTCCCAGGACTTCTGCTGATAGCAGATGCCTCAGGAACTTGTGGCACCTCCTAGGGTTG